GGAGGAAATTTTGTCTGCGGAAGATCCACTGTCGAAGAAGGCTTCATCATCATCGTTTTCATCATCATCATCATCATCATCATCATCATCATCATGGAGTGCGAAGATGAGCCGAGAAGGCGACAAAGAGGAGGTCTCACTTGGGTGACCCTCAGCGTGCCAAGCGTCAATCACACAGCAGACAGGAAATGAAATGGCGGCGAAAAACGATGAGAGACAACAGAACAAAAGATTGTGTCAGCCATGAAAGGCGACGCAATCCTTTGTTCTCTTCCTTATTCATAATCGTGTGTGCGTGTGCGTGTGCGTGTGTGTGTGTGTGTGTGTGTGTGTGTGTGTGTGTGTGTGTGTGTGTGTGTGTGTGTGTGTGTGTGTTTTAAATAGTAATACACCCTCCAGAGTTTCTGTGACTAAAATATTTGTACTCCATCTTGCCCCTGGTAGACGGGAGCTCTCACTCCAAATGATTTTTTTTTTTTTTTTTTTTTTTTTTTTTTTAATGAATGGGATTATTATTTGTCACGCTTGCATCTGCAACTCGTTCTTCATGTCATTCTTCATCTCGTCATCTGGACATTTTCTTTGACAAGGCAAGACAGGGCAGCTGTATTGCTATCATGCATTTCACGCACAAGGTAAACTCAATGTGCTTCACATCATAAAAAGTACATTCGGAGACATTTGAAAGCAAAGTAAAAAAAAATATATATATAAAAAGTGACTTCCTGTTATTCCCACTTAGTTGAGATGACAATGGTTGCACCGGCACATGGAAACACTCTGTTTTGCTTTTCGCTAATGGGAGCGCCGTTCGTTCGCTCGAAGCGCTGCTGTTTTGTTTGGTACTAAGTTTTAAACCAGAGTTGCTTATCGTCACGACAATGGCATCTGTGCGTTATGGGACGTAGTCGTTCCGTGTGCCGTATAGCGTCGCTGGATTTAATGGGCGGGTGCTGCTGTTTTGGCTAGCAACAAAGGTGGCCAGCAACGGGGTTCTTCTTTCGCATCGTGGAAGAAACATCAAAGACAGCCTTCAATGCAATTACTTAGGGAGCACCCCACTGCCCCCCCCCCTCATCCCACCACCATTCCGTAATGAATGGACCCTTGAAAAGGATTTGCTCTTTCTTCTCCTGAAGGCTAATTGAGGTTGTACAAATGAAAAGGTCGGCGGTTTGAGGATTTAGTTTGGGGTTGGCCGGTGCTTGGTGGTGGTGGGTGGGGGAGGGGGGGGTGCATGCCAGACGAGAGGCAAGCCAGTGGTGGGGCTGTGATTGGTCGAGCCGAGGCATTGATGGAAGCGCTTCCTCCCCTCTGCTTCCCAAAATAACCCCCATTTCCAAACATGCACACGCACAAACACACACCGCCGCAATTGCCCCACTCATAACCGAGCGGGTATCCCAGCTGGGAGACGACAGCCTGTCAGACACGCACACGCACACACACACACACACACGCATGCGCACGCAGACGCACGCACTTTCTCCTCCTCCTCAGCAAAGCAATGTCAAAACATCCTCACGCTCTCCTCCTCCATGAAATATTGCTTTCATCGCTCATCTTTTCTCCATTGTACCCTTCAGATGTTTACAAGGTGCACTGCAAATCTCGACTCGGCGCAATGTCCTCGGATATGCCACGCTTACTTTTTGCACATTTGCCATCATGTGTCTGGGAGTGCTCCAAAAAAAAAAAAAAAAAAAAGCGGTGATTGCGAAAAATAATTCTGTGGCGTTCCTGTTCTCTGATGTGTTGGAGGAGGGAGACATCGAAAAAGGGGCTAGATAGGGGGCTCTCCAAAACCCGAATTGGGGACCCCTGTTCTATAGGTTCCCGCCTTTTGCTAGTTTTTGTTCAACTCTGCCCTTGTGATGAGCCTGTTTGACGGACCGTAACAAATACACCAAAATATGGTCATAATGGTTCAGTATTTGTACAAAAAAAAATAAACCATACGATGTATTTGTCCAAAAATCAGAGGTGGCCTGGAAGGGTCAATAAATCGCCCTGGAAAGCCCCCCCCCAAGCGCACCCCCCACAGCGTCCACAGCCACACCACCCTGCCCCTCGCCCCTTCAGTCTCCCCCTGTCGAGCCGCCCCATGCAAAATTGATCACGATGACATTTACTCTCATTCCTGCCCGGGTGAGATGACGAGAGGATCGGCAGGCCGCAACATTATTCACCGACGACATGAATAATAAACCGCTCATCTAATTTTCAGCAATAATGATTCGTGATTCCTTGTTTCAGCGGTAAACCCTGACAATGCCGCTCAAAATGTCCGTTAGTTCTGAGATGACGCATGAAGCGCGGCGTGCGGGATCATTCCGCAAAAGAGCGCAAGCTGGCGGATCCGACAGCGGGCGGTCTGCGCCTCTGTGAGAGTCTTCACTGCCGTCCTCACTCACCGTGAACTGAAGTGGCTCAGAGCTTGGTGTCCGCAAAAATCACATGAGACCCCCCCCTCCCCCTCCTCTACTAGTGATTTTGCCATGGCTTGTGCTGTAAGATGTGAGGATAAAAATGTCAGGAAAAAGCCTTCAAGAACATCTGAAACGGATTTGGATAAAAATTATGGCTGGCTTGTCCGGACTTGGATTTTAAATTAGTTTTAAGTTGTAAGGCCTCCGGGGCAAACTCATGGTGGAAAGCCAGTTTTTGAACAGGGGGTGTGTAGACTTTTTATACCTACCGCAATTGCGCACGCGTTATCTGGAATGCAAAAGCATTGACAAGATGAACATTTGCGAGCGATGTTGCAAAATGCAGCGCCTGGCTACTGTGCTGAACAATCTCTCGATATTGTGATGGGCTTCGCGCTGGCTGGCTTCGGCTCCGCGTGGGCGTCCGACTCAAAAGCAGAGAGGAGGCGGAGCTCCCGCCCGCCCGCCCGGCCGGCCGGCCGGCCGGCTGGCCGCTGTCCATACGCTAAGTGCTCTTCATCCTCCTCCTCCTCCTCCTCCTCCTCGTCCTCGTCCTCCTCCTCGGCTCACAGCCCCTCTCGCTGATTTTTAATGCACCGGCGCTTGGGCACTTGCGGAAACGTGATCGCCGCTTCACCCGCGGCGACGTCGGCGCCGCCTCAAACACTGCCGTTGTCACGGACGTGGATATACTGACGCGCGCCAACAACCGTATCGTCTTCCCCGTCACCCTCGGCGATCACGTCAACATCACTTCACACGTCGCCATCAAGATCCGCAGACTTGAAATATCGCCACCAACAAGCGCGCGGACGATTTTTGTATCACACCCGCATTTTAGCATCATCTCCAGCATCGACGTAAATATCAATATCAAGGGAAAAAGTGTGATTGAGTGACCGAACATTTGAATTGAGGGCATTGATGAAGTTGAAAAATAGCAGACCAGCGTCGGTCTCACCAGCTGCATCGAAACCGCGTCACGTTTCTGCTGGTCGAGCATTTGCAACAGCGTCACCATCAAAGAGGACTCGAATAGTGGGTCGTCTAAACGCGACCGGATAACCCCCCCATCGAAGGATTTGTTTTCTGGGCATGCTCTTGCTCGACGAGGACTCTTAGTCTTTGTGGGACATGAAGCGTTTTGATGCGCGGCACCCTCGCCATGCCAAGCCCAACTTGGATACGCTGACTCCTCCATTGGCGATTTCCCGTCTTTCTGGCGAAAATGACATCGCGTGTCTCAGCCCGTATGTCTGATGCGCGGCTCACCGAAAATACACAAGCGGAGCAAAGCAATCGCGGCGACACTCTGAGACGCGGCACAACGGCACCATTTGGGAGCGTTTCTTCATTGCTGCGGTGACTTGGACAGATTACGTTTTACTTCGTGCTGTCAGGCGATTAAATAAATAGTGCGATTAATTAATTAGGGTCTGGAATTAATTAATCTAATTAATCTATATTTTCATCTCATCTCAAAAAATACTGAGCAAACCCCGATTTTCATTTTAAATTCGTTACATTTTTTCAGGCAGATCAAAAGATAAAAGAAAAAGTGGCATTATAAAGTATTTTATTGTTTTTCAGCAAGCGGAAATTACGTCAGCGATGTCGCCGTTTAAATCAACTCTGTCCACTCACGCATGGAAACGGGTCCTCGTACATCTTTCGCAAATCGGGATTTTTGACCTCAGCCCAAATACGGGCCGCATGCAAACGTGGTGACCATCAACATCGACGTACGGGGCAGCATTCAGCACAAAATGATGGCCAGATATCTGATTCAGCCTCCATCGCACCATCTCGATTCATCGTCATCATCAGCAGCGTCGCAATCAACATCCAAATCGCTCTTGGCATCGCCGCCGCATGATTATCGTCCCTGTCCGGTCTGTATCAACGGCATCGTGCGCATCATCCTCATCACGACAATCAGCATCCACACAAACATCGGCGTTCGCACTGCCGTCGACGTCTTCGTCAAGACGTGAAACTTGTTGTACGTCGTCCTGCAAGAAAAGCGTTTTTAATTGATTATTATTATTTTGCTTTTGAAGGCGCCTTGAAATGGGGACAGGTCCTCTTAACGAGGACACAGCTATAGTTAGTTGTGCTGCGCTTGTGGTAAGCGTGTACCCGCCTCCTCAAATATTCAGCTACTCCGTCGGGAAGATTTCTTTCTTTATTTGGGCTCCATTCTGGGTCAAATGGACCCATAGTCTTTTTTATTTTTTTTTCAAATATTTGTACTTTTTTTTTTGGATGATGTGATGTGCGATGAGTAATGCGCTACAGATTGACAGATACGGTCTGTCGTTGAGTGAACACTCCTGTGATGTTGCGGGTCCTAGTGACCCAGTTAACAGTTTGAGGAAAAAAAAAAACTTTTGTGACAATTTGGGGGGGTAATTCACTCACTCAAATTTTTAAAAATGGTTAAAAACAGAATTATCTCTCGTGTAATGTTGCAGGTCAAATTGACCCGCTTAAAGTAATTTTAATTATATTTTTTTACCTACACAGAGTTGCAAGTACTTTTTAGTTTGTGACACTATTGGGTACATTTAAGATGCCCTGGGTCAAGCTGACCCAGCAAGGATGCTCATCCTGACAAATTAATGCAAAAGGGGGTGAGGGGGGCAAAATGAGATTAAAAAAAAAATCCTCCTCCTACATTGCGGGTCTAATTGACCCATTGAAGAGAATTATTATTTTATTTTTTTAAGCATCAAACTTCTTACTGTGTATTGAGATTTTGTTCATGAAAGACGACCCGGGTCAAATTGACCCAGGATTATTGTTGCTGGTCCCGAAACAATACCAGAGGGAGGTGGGGGGGGTGATATCTAATTAACATTGTCGGCATTGTCTTCATTTCGGACACTTTCTTTGTTGATGTCAAACATGATCTGGGTCAAAGTGACCCGGGAACATTATTGCTGAGATAGGAGCAGAACAGGGAGGTGTGTGTGTGTGTGGGGGGGTCGTTGTGGTTGTGGTTGTGGTGCCCGGCTTGCACATTTATCACTCGCCCCACCGAGCTGAGGGCAGGCGCGTCGGTTCCCGCGGACGCCGTAGAAAAACGTGACACAAATGTGCTTCAATGCAATCGAGCGGTCATGGACCAGGACCTCTTACCCTTTCCTCGAGACCGTCCCCATCTATTCCTTCGTTCGCCATCTGGCTTTTCTGCTTGGTTTTGTCCTGCGCCCTGGTGCTCTCAGTGCTGCAAGGACCAGGACTGAGACCAAGTGAAGGGGCCGAGCCTACCGAGCCATCAGACAAAGCAGGGTCTGTGCCAGACAGAGAGTCTGCCCTCAGCAAGGCATCGGAGGACGACATGGGAATTGGCAACTTGATCTATTTCAAAGAAATAGAGAACAAACATGATTTGGGGCATACATGAGACAGGAAAGCACCAAATTGTGGAATGGTTCTGTTATCGTTTAGGTTTGAAGGATCTGAACTAACTTTCGAGCTGTGGTTCTCAAAATGGCGTCTGCGAGCCGTAAACCGGGAGTCCACAACAACATTTGAAATAGGTGCCTACGTACCGTGAATGTGGCATACCAATTCGTCAACAATACGAATCCAATGACTCCTGAGAACTCCTGAGGACCGATGTCGAGCTACTCACCTTCAATGGTGGAATCGGTTCATGCTGTTGCTGTTGGGACTGATGATGGAGTTGCTGCTGCTGCTGCCGATGGGGGGGGGGGTGGGGTTGGTGGAGGGTCTGCAGTGGAGCGACAGCTGCCATCAGAGGCGAGCGGAGCACACAAACGCTTGAAAGAGTTGTTTGAAGCCAGCGGTGGCGGCCAGCGGAGATAAAAGTGGCGGCATGGCGCACTTTGACATCATCATCGCTTTGACATCTTCATCGAGCCCCGGTGGTGACGCTCTCTCGGCCGTTTTAAAAGCGACCCTCAAATGCGCCGCTCGGCAACAACAATGACCGGGAAGAGATGAAACCAAAAAGGCCAGATGCGGCGTTTGTTGCTTCTCTGGTTCAACAGGACATGACATGACTGGCCTCTTTCTACGCAGAGATCCTGCAAAATCAAGTGTCGCATTAATATCCTGCTTTTGCGGGGTCTGTGTAAAACGATCTGAACTCCTTTCACACAGCTTTTAAGACAAAAATGCTGGCTCGGAGCCGGAAAAGGCTATCCGGTATTTATCTGCCTGTGCCTTTCACACATTAACCAGTGAAAGGCAGGTCATTTGAACAAGGTGTGGTAATTTCCGGATTCATTTTGGATTCAGGGTAAAATTGTCCTTTCACACAGGTTTTCGGCAAAACCGAAGTATATCGGAAACATAGCAGTGAATCTTAAGCTAGCCCCTTTTCACACAGATATTGACACAACGTTTGTGTCAATCTGCTTTTGCTGGGTTCTGTATGAACTGCCACTTGCCCTTTTCACACAGTTTCTTCGGCAAGCAAGCAGCAAGCAACTTTCAAAATACTCGACTTACCAACGTAGGGACACAAAGTTCCATCGAGGGGCTAACTTTCAAGCGGCACGAGGGGAGTTAGCGTTTCCTTCTCTCTTGATAAAAGTAGACAAGCCAGCGCGAAAGGTAATATTCTGCCCCCTGCAGGATTGGAGTGTCATGCTAAGGATGAGCTTGTTGATTTCAAATGAACAATGCCATTCAAAATAATCTATAAATGACAAACATTGTATATATTTTTTAAAATCTTTGCTTTCATTTATTTGTTGTACCTTAGAGAGTCACGTAACAAAGAAAAAAATAAAAATAAAAATAACTTCCACAGACATGAAATTTCCAAGGTATTAAATGTTACTAGTTTTGGGGAATAAACCAGGAATTCCCAATGTGGAATATTCACCGAATTCCGGAACTGTTCTACACTTTTGCAAGCCTAGTTGCCACCTCAAGATCCCTGCATGTTTGCGTGTGTGTGTGTGTGTGTGTGTGTGTGTGTGTGTGTGTGTGTGTGTGTGTGTGTGTGTGTGTGTGTGTGTGTGTGTGTGTGTTGTTTCTAAATGCTTTTCTTTTGGACGTCTCACGGGTCCACACGTTACTTAGTAAGTTACCGTCGATGTTTAGTTTTTCTGCAGGGTGATGTCAGTTGGAGGTCTGTGCCGTCGCCCCTGAAGCCCCATCATCGGATCCAGTTTGGACCTCATCTGGAAGAACAACACGCTAGGTTATTCTTTTGCTTTTTTTTCAATCCCCCACAAATCAGCTGGTAGTTTGTGATTTGTGAAGCTGGTAAGTTTTCAACAAAGGTCTTGACTGGGTCGCAACCCGTGAAGGTCTTGGTCTCATCTTGGTCTAAACCAGCCTTGCTCTGAATTAATAAAAGTCTTAGTCTTGAGTCAAACTCAAGTCCTCAAAACTTTGTTTTTAACTTGGTCTCAACCCGACATGGTTTAAATGTTGACTTGGTCTCAATATGCCTGAGCCTTGGTCTTGACTGTTTCCCAACCCCTGAATTCCTTGTTCATGATTTGGTCTTATAACCTCATCAAGTCTTGGACGCAGCCCGGCTCAACCCTTCAATGTTTTGGTTAAGATTTGGTCGAACTCCTTCAAGTCTTAGTCTTGAATAATTCTCAACCCCTTGACATTTTTAACTTGTTCTCAACCTGCCTTTGTTTTGACCTTGACGTGGTCTCAATCTTTCAAACGTCTCAACTTGATTTCAATCCATTAAAGTTTTGGTCTTGTCTTGGTCTCAACCCCAACTGTCCCGGTCCTGACTCAGATCCCCACTCCTCAAACTATGGTCTTGAATTTGGGCTCAACCTGCCTGGATCTGGATTTTGACTCCGTCTTAACTCCACAAGACCTTTTTTGACTTGGCCTCAGTCCTGAAGTTCTGGTCTTCACTCAGTCTCAACTCTCAAAAAGTTCTTCACTCGTCTCAAACCCTTAAAGTCTCTATCTCGATTTAATCTCAACGTCTCACTCTTAGTCTTGACTTGGTCTCTGCTTCTTAAAATGTTTACAGCTTTGACGTATCCAATCTGTCCATTGGATCGTTTCTCCACCCCGTAGCACCAGCATGAGGTTAGGATGCAGTCTTCCTCACCAAGTGCTTTGGTCTGAGCGTCCGGTGAGCTGGGTTCCGGCGGCCACCGGAGCTCGCCGCTCTCCACTTCCGGCCCATCTGTCGGCTCCACCACGATGGAGGGAAGCCTCTTTGACAACTTTGGATGCCTTTCGTGGGAATCGGGGAATAGCTGCGAGTTTATGTTAAGGTTGACTGAGGGGTGGTGCCATTGTGATGTGCTAAGTGGGGCCGAGAACATGTGAGAGAACAACAATGCAGTCAAAATCAGATTAGCAAAGCCGCTAACAGCGCATAGCGCCTGAGAAGAAGATGACTTATAGTGAGCTCGGCTTTGTTTGAACGCAACCGGGGCTGGCCGATTCAAGTTCAGTTGCCAACACAATTTTCATGTCAAGTCAGCGTCAATATGATGTCGATGAGTCAAATGTTATGTCCCAAAAGATTTTAAAAATTGTTTTGAATGACATCATTAGAATGTGTTTTCTATGAGCAAAGTAGCGTGGGGCAGTGGGGATCGATGACAATCAGAAATTCAGGAATCGAATTTTTGTGTTAAAAAAATAAAATAAAATCAATAGAGATTTTATGTCAAGGCCATATCGCCACTGCCTTAAGTTAACCAAATAATCAAGATGAATTTCAGACATGGCGTCTTCCGGAAAAGACACCAACACTTCATAATGAGCGTGGTGACATCAGCTCATATTTTACTCATGGCTCCGGTGACTCACCGCCCACCACCCCCACCCCCACCACCACCGCCGCTGCTGGCCATTGCTGTGAGGACAAAGCGGGTGGAAAAAAACCAAAAACCAAAAACATCTTCGTACACAGCCACTTCTGGAAGGATACTGCATCCTGGTCGCCTCCTACTGCCCCCGATTCCAGAGAGTTCATTACCTCGGTCATCCTGCACAAAGCAAACAACTCAGGATCATGAGTCCTTAATCCTTTCGTTGATTTAAAACTTTGGATCAGTGGATAAGATGACAGAGGCCGCCGCAGATTGGAAGCATGCAGTTTTCATTGGTTTGTTCAAAGAGAATGACCGAAGGCGGTCTTGTTCTGCGATTGGCTGGCAACCAGTTGCCCGAAGACAGCTGGTGGTCTTGATCTCAGTTACAGTCAAAGTCTTGGTCTTGTTTGATTCTCAACCCCTTGAAGGTCTTGACTTGGTCTCAACCCCTAAAAGAACGTAACTGGGTCGCAGTCCATTCAAGTCTTTGTTTTCTACTCCTCAATTTCTTGGTATTGACCACTCAAAGTCTTGACCTCGACCTTTCCAAGTTCTAGTCTTGGCTTGGTCTGGGTCCTTCAAAGGACTTCCTCTGGTTTCTGCTCCTCAAAGTCTTAGTCTCAGTTCTTCAAAGTCTTTGTCTTGACTCAGTTCATTGTCTTAAATTTGATTTGATCTCAAGCCATTAAATTCATCCCTTGGTCTTGGCCTCAAGCCCCCAAAGTCTTGCTCTTGACTTGGTCTCGAGCCTTCAAAGGACTTGATTGGCTCACGAGCTGTCAAAGTCTTGGTCTTGACTTTGTTTGAACGCCTTCAAGTATTGGCTTTGCCTTGGACTGAACCCTTCAAAGGTCCCGAAATGTTTTGGTCTGGAATTAGTCTAAAGTCACTGCATCGAAACAGCGTCACGTGCTGGTCGAGCATTTGCAACAGCGTCACCATCAAATAGGACTCGAATAGTGGGTCGTCTAAACGCGACCGGATAACCCCCCCCATCGAAGGATTTGTTTTCTGGGCATGCTCTTGCTCGACGAGGACTCTTGGTCTTTGAAGCATTTTGAAGCAATTAAAAGCGTTTTTAATTGATTATTATTATTTTGCGTTTGAAGACGCCTTGAAATGGGGACAGGTCCTCTTAACGAGGACACAGCTATAGTTAGTTGTGCTGCGCTTGTGGTAAGCGTGTACCCGCCTCCTCAAATATTCAGCTACTCCGTCGGGAAGATTTCTTTCTTTATTTGGGCTCCATTCTGGGTCAAATGGACCCATAGTCTTTTTTATTTTTTTTTCAAATATTTGTACTTTTTTTTTTGGATGATGTGATGTGCGATGAGTAATGCGCTACAGATTGACTGATACGGTCCGTCGTGGAGTGAACACTCCTGTGATGTTGCGGGTCCGAGTGACCCAGTTAACAGTTTGAGGAAAAAAAAACAAAAACTTTTTGACAATTTGGGGGGGTAATTCACTCACTCAAATTTTTAAAAATGGTTAAAAACAGAATTATCTCTCGTGTAATGTTGCAGGTCAAATTGACCCGCTTAAAGTAATTTTAATTTTTTTTTTTACCGACAGAAAGTTGCAAGTACTTTTTAGTTTGTGACACTATTGGGTACATTTAAGATGCCCTGGGTCAAGCTGACCCAGAAAGGATGCTCATCCTGACAAATGAATGCAAAAGGAGGTGAGGGGGGCAAAATGAGATTTAAAAAAAAAAAATCCTCCTCCTACATTGCGGGTCTAATTGACCCATTGAAGAGAATTATTATTTTATTTTTTAAGCATCAAACTTCTTACTGTGTATTGAGATTTAGTTCATGAAAGACGACCCGGGTCAAATTGACCCAGGATTAGGGGGGGGGTTATATCTAATTAACATTGTCGGCATTGTCTTCATTTCGGACACTTTCTTTGTTGATGTCAAACATGATCTGGGTCAAAGTGACCCGGGAACATTATTGCTGAGATAGGAGCAGAACAGGGAGGTGTGTGTGTGTGTGTGTGGGGGTGGGGGGGGTGCAAATAACACAAAGAGGTTTACTTCACTCATATTATTGGTGAAACAGTTGCAGTATAAGATGTAACTGGGAATTCCCCGCGTCTTTTGTGGTATGAGAGCGAGCAATCATGACTCTGCGATTACACCAGTTTTGATTGCGCATCTATAGCATATTGTATCGGTTGAGCATTAAGCTCGCAAACTTTTATCCGGCAAGGTTACACGGTTGTTTATAAATACACAACGTGTAGTCTTCTTTTGTCCTATTGAATTTAAACAAGAAAAAAAACAACAACGTGACATGAATGACAGCTCTGTCGTCCTTTTTTTCAGTGTGTCTGCCTGAAAGTCTACGTGTGCCCATTCCATGAGCGCAAATATTTTGCCAGTTAAAGTGACTCAAAGTTTGTGCGAACGCCACATTGCAGTTACCCGCGAGCTGACGTTGACGAAAAAAAAAAAAGACTGCCATTATTTCATAACAAACTTGGTGATGTTTATACATCCACAAAAACCTTTGACATCGCGCCTTATCTGCCCGAAATATGATGCAATATCCTGCTAAGTAAAGCAGAAAATAACACGGCGATGGTATGCGTGGTAACACTTGTTTAATGGGGCTTGATGAATTGAAATAGAAACATCGGGTTGCGTTCTCCCGCCTGCGTTGTGAGCCTTAAGCAGGTTATGGCACCGCCACAATAGAGGACATTTGTATTTAGGCTGTGTTCCTTTGTTAATGGAAATGTTTGAATGCTTTGTATTCGTTTGCAGAAGCATGCGTCACTCACATGGACTTTCACATGCTTTGCAACAACATTATTATTATTATTTTTTTTTTTTACAGTTTAGGGTTTACGGTTAGGGTCAAATCTAGGGCAGACCGAGAGTCCCGTGTGTCGATATCATCTCATATTGGATGTGAAGTGGGAGGAGCTAGAAATATTTTGGCAATGGTCTTGGATGTCCTAACTAATGAAGCGTCTGCATGGCTGAATCGCTACTATCACTACAAATGTCCACTTTAGGCTTCATGTTTTAAGTGGTATTAAAGTCATCTATAAAATCAACACAGATATTACTTTGCAGATTCACAGACAATTGCCAGTATTAGTACCTATGATCTGATAATAATGTCTTTGTCTTTAGACTTGGTGAAGCAGCATGTGCCTCAGTGCCGAAGGGTAATTTTGTACACTCTGTTCTGAATAACAGTAAACAATCGTTTGATCACGAGGCAGCTCCATTGTTTATCACATTAAATACATACAGTATTTGATTGGTGGTAAAAACAGATCGACTCAAGGTCAAGGCTACTCTTGAGTGTCTTAAGAATTTTGACTGCAGGCACCCTATAATTAGCAAACTATACAACAACCTCTGCGGTTTCGCATGGCGAGGTCAGCGTGCTTTGTTTCCATGAAAATGTTTCCTGCTAGAAGCCGGGGGGATGAGGATGCATACAAATCGGCGAAGTCGCTTATCGCGGAGCTTAATTTACAGTCTACTTATTTTGAATCAAACTCTATGCTTATAACCATACTGTAGATGCCCTTGGGCAGGCTCTGATATGATAAATGTGGCTTAAATAAGTGCTTGTCAATCGCCAGTAATGCTAATTGGTTAAGACAAGATGAAACAGTTATCTTGTTTAATTAGCGTCTGTCAGATCTGTTATTCAGCTAAGAGAGACAACATTTGTTTCCAGTCTAGCATGAAGTCTCTGTTGGGTTGAATTCCAGTACTTGTTGTCGAAGCAATTTAGCAGTCTCTCATGGAATGTGACTGAATACTAATGATGTGAATGGCAGCTGGATTGGGTTGATTAAAAGCTAGTGCTTGAGCATGAAAGGAACATGAGATTAATTTATGAATTCCTATTCATGTCCGCGGGTGCCAAACCTCTTGATAATAAAGTCGTCTTTCAGTTTTATTAACAGGGGGGCGATCATTAGCAATGCCATTTTGTTTATTTATTCATGATTGAATATGTAGCAAGAAAGCTGGTTAGCAATACAGTGCTTCTAAAAGGTGTGCGATGAACGTTAGCATGACTGGCTAATTATTTTGTTGGAATTGTATTTTGTATAAAATATATATATATCTATATATCTATATATCTATGTATAGAATTAAGAAAAGAACATTTCTCAGATTCTTAGGTCTTTCCTCAGATAAATATATCAGTAACATCCTATAGCACCGATGGTGTCCGGTTCGTCTCGCAAATGCGTTCGGATGTCGCGTAACTACAAACGGCAGCGGAATAGAACTGGCCTCCATCGGTGCGTGGCGGCCTCAAAGACACGAGCAACCAT